ACAGATGGCATCAGCTGTATTATTACTTCCGAATTCCCTTTGAACACTGATCCACAACTCCTGTAGTGTCTACGGGATAAGGTTTTATACTATGCTGGTACATAGTAGGTAACTGAGTGCTGCAATTACTTTGTTTATCTACTGTTGTTAAATATAATGCATCCAAGACTTGCTAATGTAGTCTGTTGCTCCCATGCTGTATGCTATTAGCATTAGCCAGCTATTGTCTCAAACTGTGTAATCCTTTTATACATTCTTAATGATAATTATACAAATAAAAACACATAAAACTTAACAAATTGTTCCTAAAGTATAATACATTTCTCCACCTCCCTCCCCCCCCATCTCTCTCTCAATGAAAATGTCAGTCCAAGGTTGGAGGCTAGACACTTCACCCAATTTTCCTGTACTACCTGCATCCTGTCCTCTAAACAAAGACCCAAAAGTACATTCCATCCACCCGCCAACCCCCGCTGTTTATGAATGAAAAATGGTTTACACACAACTCACAACTCAACCCGTCCTCGACTCAAGTCCATTACATCCAGCGGTCGACCCCACAGACGCATTCATAAATTTTAATATGCTGTTCATTCAAAACGGGAATTTTCTCAAGTATGAATTAATATTATAATATATTAGCATATTGTGCATATATAGGCATAGGTTAGGTTAGGTTAGGTGTTTAGGTTCTGTTGGCGATTATTTGTATTTGTAGTACGTGGGTGAAGCATTTATAGCGTTGTGATTCGAACAAAATTCGTCAGTGAAACACTTGTTCCGGATATGTTCGAACGCCAGCAGTTGTGAGTCGTGTGTAAACCTTTTTTCATTCATAAACAGCGGGGGGGTTGGCGGGTACATGGAATCACTTTTGGATCTTTGTTTGGAGGACGGGCTGCACAACTGATGATGTCCGAACACTTCCGGAACAAGTGCTTCCCAGACGACTTGTGTTCGAACCACAACGCTGTAAATGCTTCACCCACGTACTACAAATACAAATAATCGCCAACAGATCCTAAACACCTAACCTAACCTATGCCTAAATATGAACAATATGCTAATATATTATATTAGCATATATATGCTAGAGAAATAAAGATTATTTTAGTAGGATTTCTTATAGTATTCCTAGTAAGGTTTCTAACAGCCATGAACCCTGTTAACTGCTATGCTATGATATTTCGACAACAGACTTCAACTGCATATGCAATCCTACTAAAAATCCTAATAGGAATCCTAATATTGAAATCACCTAGAATTCCTACTAGGAATCTTACTTCAAATCTTACTAGGAATCACCTTGAAATCCTACAAGGAATCCTAAAAGACAATAGGTAACCTAATCTCACCTTAAGACTCTGAAGGAAGCTGCTATACAGAGCTCTGATACTCCACCTTGCCACATAAAGGCTCAGATAACCTGTCTGAGCCTCTTTTTTTTTTTTTTTTTTTTTTTAGATATATACAAGAGTTGTTACATTCATGTAGAGCCACTAGTACGCGTAGCGTTTCGGGCAGGTCCCTGGAATACGATCCCCTGCCGCGAAGAATCGTTTTTTCATCCAAGTACACATTTTACTGTTGCGTTAAACAGAGGCTACAGTTAAGGAATTGCGCCCAGTAAATCCTCCCCGGCCAGGATACGAACCCATGACATAGCGCTCGCGGAACGCCAGGCGAGTGTCTTACCACTACACCACGGAGACTGTCTGTCTTCTATTCAGAGCTCTGATACAGCCTACCAAGTTCCGTCTTATTCTATGCTACAACCCGCCAGAGCCATTATTCCTCTAATGTAATACTTTAAGAAAGAATTCTCAACTTTGTATCTAATTGCTTGTTACAGGGGCTTTAGAGCAGATTATAGCATATATATCAAAGCATCAAAATTGTACTTAAAAGTTTGAAAGATAATTTTAAGTTGGGTACATGATTTTACCATAGAGAATTGGTGAATAAAATGACATAATTAAACATTGTAGTGAAGAGTGACCCCTATATCAAAGCTCGCCACTCTAGAGCATATCACTTGGCGTTAAACCTACAAAACTTAACACTGTATAAAATGTACAATTTGAAAATATTTTATTAAAACCACATACCAGACGTATAGTTTATTTTAAAATGTATATACCTATTGTATATGACCAATATAAATTACTGATATTCTACATAACACAAACATTCGGTATAACATTTATATACATAACGTTTATATAAGCCTTGATATAGGCTTAAGTATATATGATTACCGTATATAACTTAAGACAGGTAAACAAAAAAAAAATTATGAAAGGCTTTACAATCAGAATTGAATTGTTGCAAGGTCAGTATACTGAACCTGGGTGTTGCAAGGTCAGTATACTGAACCTGGGTGTTGCAAGGTCAGTATACTGAACCTGGGTGTTGCAAGGTCAGTATACTGAACCTGGGTGTTGCAAGGTCAGTATACTGAACCTGGGTGTTGCAAGGTCAGTATACTGAACCTGGGTGTTGCAAGATCAGTATACTGAACCTGGGTGTTGCAAGGTCAGTATACTGAACCTGGGTGTTGCAAGGTCAGTATACTGAACCTGGGTGTTGCAAGGTCAGAATACTGATCCTGGGTGTTGCAAGGTCAGTATACTGATCCTGGGTGTTGCAAGATCAGTATACTGATCCTGGGTGTTGCAAGGTCAGTACACCACAAGCTCATACTTGTGGTCTTATCTCTCACTCAGTAGATAAATGGAGTGATCAACACGGGTGAGAAATTTATGAAAAAAAAACCATGTGCCAATGTATGGAGTTTTCCTTCACTGTGTTGCATGCTTTTATCACAGGGCTTAGATATGAGGTGTTGCAAGCAAATTTGACAGCATAAATGTGAGTAGCATACCACTTAGGAGAGGTATAGTGTTATAAAGTGATAGTGGATAAAAGCCTGATGAGCTATATTCCTTGTTAACCTAATATAAAACAATTTGGTTTTAAGCTGATTTTAAGTCTAATAACTATTAGACTGACGGACTGTCACGATCTGTAAGACTAACTTCAGTGACAGCTAGTTGTTTATTCGGTATAGCTTACCAGCCAGCCATAGAAGATTTACTTAAGTTACCAGCCAATTTTGGCCGCGCTCAATGATTCTAAATTTTAGAACTTTATAAGCAGTATTATATTGCAGGCAAACTAACTTTCTCTTGCCTAATGCATTTGGTCACTTCAAGAATATCATACCACAAGCTGAAGGCTAACAAACTCACCAGAATCCAAGCAAACCACTAAGCCTAGCAGACTTTAGAGAACAAGTCATTAAACACCACTCTAATGTTGACGTTATAATATCACTCCTGTATACATCAGCCCATCCTCACAAAATGAGTTCTTATAGCAGTCATTTGATTATACGTGGCATTATGTGCTGTTGAAACACCCTTAAAAAGGTTAACGCTTTGTATTAATTAGCTTTGATAGCGTGAAATCACGCTATCTCTGAAATATCGTGAAAAATCACGATATTTCATAGCGTGAAATCACGCTGAAATATCGCTATCAATTTCAACTCTGAAATTGAACTACAGAACCTAACCTGTCAAGGGAATATAGGCATAATACTATATCCAAGCCATGATATATTATATATATATATATATATATATATATATATATATATATATATATATATATTTGTGTGTGTGTGCATGCTAGAGTAGGACTAGGAATATTCAAGTTTGGTTTTCAACTTTTGTTCTCTGACTATATAATAGTAGTAGTTTTAATAGTACAAAATAATTAGTCTTAATAGTATGAAAAAGCGAACGTTCTAGGGTCGAACAATACATATTCGAACAAATAATTCGTTTAAACATTATTTTAGGAGGATAGGCTAATATATCAACAAGCAAATTAGAATATACAGTACCTAAAAGTTCACATTTTTATGGAGCTTTGCAAATTTTTTATTTTTGTATAGCAATGGAAATTTCAATTTTATTAGTTTATAATGGCTTCCTTTTAATAAATAAATATTACTAAGCAATTAAATAACGAGTGACAACAGAATTCAACATTTATTATAGAATACATTCTTATTGCAGGTGTTGTATCATTGTTGTTTTACTGTAGGCGATCAATGTGACCAATCATATCAGGCTGACTGTGATCACTATATCAGGCTGACTGTGATCACTATATCAGGCTGACTGTGATCAGTATATCAGGCTGACTGTGATCAGTAAATCAGGCTGACTGTGATCAGTATATCAGGCTGACTGTGATCACTATATCAGGCTGACACAGCGATCAATATATCAGGCTAACACAGCGATCAATACAGTAGCAGGTTGATACAGAAACCATTACACAGTATAAGGCTGATCCAGAGATTAGTATACTGATGCTGAATTCTATGAGGTTCCCCAGAAATCTCAGTTTATCTGACTGTTATATGACTCGGTTATAGAACATATATATTATCTGTTCATAACTGATAAGTATCAGGCTGATACAGAGATCAAGATCAGTATCAGTCACAAAACAACAAATTTGTCAGTTTTATACATTTGCTCTTATATTAAATATAAACACATCAACGCAGATTCAATTAACTTTATGAAATTCCGTTTTATATTGATTTAGAAACGTTGAAATAAGTAAATTTTGACTAAATTTAAATGATATATAGTTTGTAAGGTTGATATTATTAAATATTGCAGATTAATGCGAGATTATAAATGATTTATACGTAAACATAATGCATTAGTATACGTATTTCACATATGTGTATGAAACAGCTCTTACAGCCAGTGGGGGGAAAGTTCACATTATTAATCCCAAAAATACATAGGAAAATAGCAAACTTTAAGCTCATTGTTGCTGGTAAGTCTCAAACAATATACCGCAAGGTACATGCCCTCCAAACACACACCGAAACTACGACGTTGGTACAACGTTCGAACAAGTTTTAACACCTAACCAGTTATAACAACCAATATAGCAAGTTGTAACAACGTTCTAATACGTCATAAAAACGTTAAGCCAAGATGTAACAACTTTATTACAAGTTGTAACAAGCGGAAAATAGACAGTTTCGGTTTGTGTTTCCAGGGTGTAAATACATTTTACGTAGATAAGGTCATTTTTAGTTACCAATGAATACTTTGTGAACTCTGATGTTACCCAGTGCTTCTCGTTCATCTTCCAGGTGACTAGAGATGTATACTTCCATTAAGGAGAGACGCAGCAGCGGAGATGGTAACATGGGCACATGTTTCGTCGCATCAGTCACCGCCACGGCTTCGCCACGGGAGAAGTGAAGGCTGCGGTCTCTGCCCTTGACACGGCCGGTACTACCATGGATTGGCCACAGGAGAGATGTTGTAGCCATCTCTGCCACTGCTAGGCGAGGCACGGGGGGAACAAATTAGATAGCGGACACAACAAACTTCCGTGTTTCATACAGCTTAAATACAAATATAACTCCCCCCCCCCCCCCCCCCCCCCCCCGAGGCCAGACATTAACCTCAAGCGCCTGGCTCCCTCCCCGGAGGCCAGACATTAACCTCAGGCGCCTGGCCACACTTTGTTAAGTAATTATCAATAGAAGGCACCAAACCGAGAAGGCTATGTAGCACCATCAAAAGTGCGGGATAATCAGAGGGCGCTAAATATCACCAAGGATGCCAATACGAGAACAGAAACGCATAAGGCGAACGATATCAAAAGTATCCGAGTCGCCAAGAATTCTATCGAGGGACAAGCGACCGCGGGGGACGGTCGGAAAACAAGACACACGCTCGTCCTGGAAGTCAGGACATTCAAGAAGGACATGTACGACCGTAAGAGGGACAATGCAATGTGGACAATAAGGAGTAGGGCGGCGCTCCATTAAGTGACTGAGATAAACGGGTATGGCCAATACGTAACCTAGCCAGCGCCGTTTCCCACCGCCGGTTACGGTGGTAGGAGGAAGGCCACTGGGACACACTTCTCTTAAGAGTATGCCGTTTGTTACCAATAACAGAAGACCAACAACTCTGCCAGCAGGCAAGGATGGAGGCATGAATAACTGGGTAAAAGTCGGAATAAGGAATACTTTTATGGGAGATGGGACAAGTGCGGATAGCTTCCTTAGTGGCAGCATCCGCACGCTCATTTAAAGAGACACCAACATGGCTGGGAACCCAGCAAAATGCAACTGATTTAAATTTACTGGAGATAAGAAACAGCCAATATTGAATCTCGACAACCAACAGGTGGGCCGGATTAAAGGACCCTAAAGCCATGAGGGCACTACCAAAGTCAACTACTACCACAAAGGAGGATTGACACCGGGAAAGCAGGAGACGAAGAGCATAGAGAATAGCATAAAGATCTGCTGTGAAGATGCTAGCCTCCGGAGGAAGGCGACACATATAAGTGTGGTCAGGAAAAACAACAGAGTAGCCCACACCGTCCGCAGACTTTGACCCATCGGTGAAGATGGGAACGGAGTGGGAGTGAGAAGAAAAGTGTTCAAGGAAGAGGCGTTTCAGAACTGTAGGAGGGGTAAAAGCTTTAGTGATGTGGGTCAGAGAAGTACAAAATTTGGGAAGGGGGATCCTCCACTGGGGCAAGGATGGAACAATACGAGGAGAAACATTGGTAATATGAGCTGAAAGAGAATCCTGTAAGCGAGACAAATGGACAGAAAGAGGAAGGAGGTGAAGAGGAACAGGAACTACAGGAGGGGTAAAAGTCAAAGCACGATAGAGGCGAGAGTGAGGATGCTGTAAGGATCGCACAAGATAGCGAAGACTGTAGCGATCACGGCGATCCTGGAGAGACAAAGCCAGTGTCAGCGTACAAGCTGAGGGTAGGAGTTGAACGAAAAGCACCAGAGCTGAGGCGCACCCCAATATGGTGCAAAGGATCAAGACGGCGAAGAGTATTAGGAGAAGCAGAAGAGTAGGCAGGGCAACCATAATCGAGTTTAGACAGGACGAGAGAGGAATGCAAATAGAGGAGAGTGGGCCTATCCGCTCCCCAAGAAGTATGGGACAAAACCTTAAGTAGGTTAAGGGCCTTAGAGCATTCAACACGGAGGTAAGAGACATGGGGCGACCAAGACAAACGAGTGTCAAAGAATAACCCCAAAAGCTTCGTGGAATCTTTGTACTCAAGGGGATACCCACAAAGTGACAAAGAGGGACGAAGAACGACCCGCTTCCTAGTAAAAGTCAAAGTCATGGCACAAGTCTTAGTAGTAGAGAACTTGAAGCCATGATTGGTGGCCCAAGATGACACAGCCTCAATCGCAAGTTGAAGCCGCCGTTAAAAGAGAGGCGAATCATCACCCCGACAGCAAAGAGCAAGATCGTCAACATAAAGAGCGGAGAAGATGCCAGAAGGAAGGGAGGAATGAAGACCATTGAGGACAACCAGAAAAAGAGTAGTACTCAGAACACTACCTTGGGGCACACCTTCATGCTGCCGAAAAGAGGCAGAGAGTGTGGCACCAAGCCTGACTCGAAAGGTGCGACGAGAGAGAAAGCTTTGAAGGAAGAGAGGGAGATTACCACGAAGGCCAAAAGAACGAAGTTGGGACAGAATATGGTATCTCCATGTCGTGTCATAAGCCTTTTCCAGGTCAAAAAGGACGGCAACAACGGAGGTCTTCGCAGCAAAAGCAGTACGAATATAGACCTCCAAGTTCACCAGGACATCAGTCGTGCTGCGGCACTTGCGAAAACCAAATTGAGAAGGAGAGAGAGGTGGTGATGGTGTTCCAAGAACCACATCAGACGGACATTTACCATACGCTCAAAGAGCATGCAAACACAACTCGTGAGAGCAATAGGGCGGAAGTCCTTAGGGGACGTAACGAGAGACCCTGGTTTCCGAATAGGGAGTACAATGGGTGCTTGTTTAGACCTGTGGGTGCTTGTTTAGACCTGTGGGTGCTTGTTTAGACCTGTGGGTGCTTGTTTAGATCTGTGGGTGCTTGTTCAGACCTGTGGATGCTTGTTCAGACCTGTGGGTGCTTGTTCAGACCTCTGGCTGTCATGCTTGCCCCTGTTCCTATAGTTGTGCCGTGATAGGATTTGTCAGGAGGGCAGAGCGGGATGAGGGAGGGAGAGAGGGGTGAGAGACAAACACACGTACGTGTGTGTGTGTGTGTGTGTGGTGTGTGGTGTGTGGTGTGTGTGTGTGTGTGTGTGTGTGTGTGTGTGTGTGTGTGTGTGTGTGTGTGTGTGTGTGTGTGTGTGTGTGTGTACCTATCTACGTCTCTGTTCCTGTCTCTTCCTCTATCCGGTACATGTTTCCTACAACAATTTAAAGACCATTTTCAAGCAAATACTGCCACTGTGGTCTTGCTGATAACACACCACTAACCAAAACTGTGTGAATTAAGCCCATACTTGTATTGTGTGCTGAAGTTAGCCTTGTTGGCCTTGGTGTCGCTGTGAGGCAGCTCCCTGACGGCCACCACCTTGCTGGAGTCTGCCACCTGCGGCCCCTTCCTGTGCTTGTACCACCAGTACTCGAAGGCCAGAGTCACGCACGCCAGCCCGATGCCCACGAAGATCACGATGAACACACCACCTGCAGAACACAGAACAGGGAGGGTTAGCACAGCACACACAAGCTTAACACAGCCCAAGGAGGGTTAACACAGTTTAAGAAGGGTGAGCACAGCACCGTTGCTAGCCTGACTATCTACCTCTGCCTTGGCCTCTCACTTTTGCGATTTCCCTTCCTCAGCTCGCCCCTTTACCCATTCTACAGCTTCCGTTTCAATCTCAACCTCCCTTAATTTTCAACCTTTTACCCCCAACCCTTGTTCACCTCACTCCCCACCCCAACACTCACCCTTCAACCCCTCACCAACCCCCAACTCCCCCACCAAAACACAAGGACTCACCAATATTCTCTATACTGATGCCGTCACTCTGGTCGTCGTCCTTCTCACACATCTTCTTGGCCGGGTTCTGATTCCACCAGCGCTCCTTCAGCGTCTCCAGCTTCCTCTGGTTCAGCAGCTTCAGGATCCTGCAGCGGGGGTACGAGGGATGGGGGGGGGCAGGGCATCCCACGGTCATGGGGGGGAGGGGGGCAGGGCATCCCATGGTGGGGAGGGGCAGGGCATCCCACGGTGATGGGGGGGATGGGGGCAGGGTATCCCATGGTGGGGAGGGGCAGGGTATCCCACGGTGATGGGGGGGAGGGGGGCAGGGCATCCCACGGTGATGGGGGGGAGGGGGGCAGGGCATCCCATGGTGGGGAGGGGCAGGGCATCCCACGGTGATGGGGGGGAGGGGGGCAGGGCATCCCATGGTGGGGAGGGGCAGGGCATCCCACGGTGATGGGGGGGAGGGGGGCAGGGCATCCCATGGTGGGGAGGGGCAGGGCATCCCACGGTGATGGTGGGGAGGGGGGCAGGGCATCCCACGGTGATGGGGGGGAGGGGGGCAGGGCATCCCATGGTGGGGAGGGGCAGGGCATCCCACGGTGATGGTGGGGAGGGGGGCAGGGCATCCCACGGTGATGGGGGGGAGGGGGGCAGGGCATCCCATGGTGGGGAGGGGCAGGGCATCCCACGGTGATGGTGGGGAGGGGCAGGGCATCCCACGGTGATGGGGGGCAGCAACAGGAAGACGGAGGGAAGACAGAAGAATGCAGTAAGACAAAGGTTAAAAAATAACCAATTGAAGTGAAAAAGAGACTTCAGAAAAATTATATAATTAGGGAGAGATACGAAAAAGTCAACCAAAGACAAAAACGATCAAGAGAAAATTTTGAACAAAGTTTATGTAAGTAACAAATGTTGAGAAATATAGATAATATAAAATAAATTAAGAGAAAAACTCCTCACAGACATCTCTCAAATTAATAAAAAACAAAATTGTTGCCTGTACACATTTTAATGTTAAAACTGACTTCATTTACATGCATATTACCTCACATTACTGCTGAAGAAGACAAGCAATATGCGATCTCTGCTTCCTATTGCTTTTGGTACTCCCTTATCCACTGGTAACCTACCAGTTTCTCTTGCCTGTTTCTCCATCTTTTGTAACAGCCTCTTATGGGGTACTGTGTCAAAGGCTTTCCGACAGTCCAAGAAAATGCAGTCTGCCCACCCTTTTTCTTAATTTTTGTCACCTGATCGTAGAATTCTATTAAGCTAGTGAGGTATGATTTGCCATCCCTGAACCCATGTTGGTGATTTGTCACTTAAGTCCCTTCTCTCAAGATATGCTACTAGGAGCATATTTGGAGAGCCGTTTTAAAAGTTTTAAAAACTAAAATAATGCTTGCTGGGTCACGACCAACACCGGACCCACAACAATAGAACCACAGAGATAAAGGACAGGTGCTCTGTCTAGGGGGGAAAAAATATACCCCACAATCTTATGGGTCATTTTACCTCACCTTACATCTAACCTCAAGACCTGCGGGGCCACCACGCTGGCCCCTATCTTGAGGTCATCTTGAGATGATTTTGGGGCTTTAATGTCCCCGCGGCCCGGTCCTTGACCAGGCCTCCACCCCCAGGAAGCAGCCCGTGACAGCTGACTAACACCCAGGTACCTATTTTACTGCTAGGTAACAGGGGCATAGGGTGAAAGAAACTCTGCCCAATGTTTCTCTTGTGTGTCCCTACATGTGTGTTCGCACCGAACTTGCCTCTCAAAACGGAATGAAAGATTCAGGCGTTTGCCAGCATTTTTCCAGGCTGTATACTGTAAGTAAGTAAGTAATTATCAAAAGAAGGCACCAAACCGGGAAGGCTATGTAGCACCATCAAATACGCAAAATAATCAGAGGGCGCTAAATATCACCAAGGATGCCAATACGAGAACAAAAACGCATAAGGCGAACGATATCAAAAGTATCCGAGTCACCAAGAATTCTATCGAGGGACAGGCGACCGCGAGGGCGGTCGGAAAGCAAGACACACGCTCGTCCTAGAAGTCAGGACATTCAAGAAGGATATGCACGACCATAAGAGGGACAATGCAACTAGGACAATAAGGAGCAGGGCGGCGCTCCATCAAGTGACCATGTGTTAAGCGAGTATGGCCAATATGCAACCTCGCCAGAGCTGTTTCCCACCGCCGGTTACGGTAGAAGGAGGACGGCCACGAGGAAACACAACATTTAAGAGTACGTAGCTTGTTACCAGTAACAGACAACCAAGAAGCCTGCCAACGGGTAAGGACTGAGGAATGGATAACCGGGTAAAAGTCGGAATACGGAATGCCTTTACGAGAGATGGGACAAGAGCGGGCAGCATCCGCACGCTCATTTAAAGACACACCAATATGGCTGGGAACCCAACAAAACTCAACCGACTTAAATTTACTGTGAACAAGAAACAGCCAATGCTGGATCTCGACAACTACTGGATGAACCGGATTAAAGGACCCGAGAGCCATGAGGGCACTACGAGAGTCAACAACAACTACAAAGGAAGACTGACAACGAGAAAGCAGGAGACGAAGAGCATAGAGAATAGCATAAAGTTCCGCTGTAAAGATGCTAGTCTCCGGAGGTAAGCGACACATAAGTGCGATCAGGAAAAACAACAGAGTAGCCAACACCGTCCACTGACTTAGACCCATCGGTGAAGACAGAAACGAAGCGGGAGTGAGAAGAAAAGTGCTCGAGGAAAAGGCGTTTTAGAACCGTAGGAGGGGTAAAAGCTTTAGTGATACGGGTCAAGGAAGTACAAAACCGCAGAAGAGGGACCCTCCACGGGGGCAAAGAAGGAACAACACGAGGAGAAACATCAGAAATACGAACGGAAAAAGAATCCTGTAGGCGAGATAACCGGACAGAAAGAGGGAGGTGGTGAAGAGGAACAGGAACCGCAGGAGTGGCAAAAGTTAAAGCATGACAGAGGCGAGAGGAAGGATGTTGCAAGGACCGCGCAAGATAGCGAAGACAGTAGCGATCACGGCGGTCCCGGAGAGACAGAAAGCCAGTGTCAACATACAAGCTAGGATGGGAGTCGGACGAAAGGCACCAGAACTGAGGCGCAACCCAGTATGGTGCAAAGCATCAAGACGGCGAAGAGTAGAAGGAGAAGCAGACGAGTAAGCAGGGCAACCATAATCGAGCTTAGACAGGACGAGAGAGGAATGTAAAGCAAGGAGAGTGCGCCTATCTGCCCCCCAAGAAGTATGGGACAAGACCCGAAGGAGGGTAAGGGCCTTAGAGCACTCAACACGGAGGTAAAAGATATGGGGAGACCAAGACAAACGAGTGTCAAGGAATAACCCCAAAAGCTTCGCGGAATCTTTGTATTCAAGGGGATGACCATAAAGTGACAAAGAGGGACGAAGAACAACCCGTTTCCGCGTAAAAGTCATGGCACAAGTCTTAGAAGTAGAGAACTTGAAGCCATGACCTGTGGCCCAAGACGACACGGCATCAATTGCAAGTTGAAGCCGGCGTTGGAGAGGCGAATCATCACCCTGACAACAAAGGGTAAGATCATCGACATAGAGAGCAGAGAAGACACCAGAAGGAAGAGAGGAAAGAAGACCATTGAGGGCAACAAGAAAAAGAGTAGTGCTCAGAACACTACCCTGGGGCACACCTTCGTATTGCTGAAAAGAAGGAGAGAGAGCGGTACCAAGGCGCACCCGAAAGGAACGACGAGAGAGGAAGCTGCGGAGAAAGAGAGGGAGATGACCACGAAGGCCAAAAGAATGAAGTTGAGATAGGATATGATAACGCCAAGTGGTGTCGTAAGCCTTTTCTAGGTCAAAAAGGACGGCAACAACGGAGGTCTTCGCAGCAAAAGCAGTACGAATATAGACCTCCAAGTTCACCAGGACATCTGTCGTGCTGCGGCACTTGCGGAAACCAAATTGAGAAGGGGAGAGGAGGTGATGGTGTTCCAGGAACCACATCAGACGAACGTTAACCATACGTTCAAAGAGTTTGCAGACACAACTTGTGAGAGCAATAGGGCGAAAGTCCTTAGGGGAAGTACCCAGAGACCCCGGTTTGCGAACAGGGAGGACAACGGCATCGAGCCAGTCCTCAGGGACTGACGACGACTCCCAGATCCGATTATACAGACTCAGTAAATACTGAGACGTGCTCGGAGGGAGATGGCGAAGCATCTCATAATGAATACCATCAGAGCCCGCCGCCGTAGAACCGCAGAGGGCCAGGGCAGAACGAAGTTCAGAGAGAGAGAAGGGATCATTATAGGGAAGCTGAAGATGAGTGCAGAAATCTAAAGGACGAGACTCAAGGACAGGTTTACGAAGAAGGAAAGATCGGGGAAGATGAAGACCAGAGCTAACAGAAGAAAAGTGCGAACCCAGTTCGGAAGCGACCTGCAACGGGTCCGCCACAAGAGTATCATGGAGGTGAAGGACCGGTGAAATATCGGGAACGAACTTACCCGCTATCTTGCGGATACGCTTCCAGATCTGGGCCAGAGGGGTCTCGGACGTAATTGTTGAGACATAAGATGCCCAACATTCACGTTTAGCCGTACGGATGGCCCTACGGGCCACCGCACTCGCTTTCCGAAAGAAAAGAAAAGAATCGGTCGTCTGCCTACGGCGGTGCCTCTTCCAGGCTGCACGCTTACAGCGGACAGCCCGAGCACAGTCCGCATTCCACCAGGGAACGCACTTCCGTGGACCCCGAGAGGAAGAGCGAGGAATAGAGCGGAGGGCAGCGTTGAAGACAGTGTCATGAAAAAGGAGGAGAGCGCGAGAGAGAGGCAGAAGGGAGAGGTCAGGGAGAGCAGCACTGAGGGTAAATAGGGTCCAGTCTGCCTTAGCAAACTGCCACCTAGGGAAAGAGATGGAAGGGCGAAAAGAGAAAAAGGAAACAAGGATGGGGAAATGATCACTTCCATGGAGGTCATCAAGAACCTGCCACGTGAAATTTAAGTAAAGAGAAGAAGAGCAGAGAGAAAGATCAAGACAAGAAAGGGTGCGAGTCCGAGAGTCCAAATGAGTGGGCTCACCAGAATTCAGAAGAGACAGGGAAGAAGAGAGGAGAAACGGCTCAAGGAGGCGACCCCGGGTATTCGTCAGAACGTCACCCCAAAGAGAATGACGACAATTGAAGTCACCCAGCAGGAGCACAGGCTCCGGCAAGGAGTCCAGGAGGTGCTTCAAATCAGGAAGAGAGAGCGGGACACTCGGGGGGAGATAAATGGAACAAACTGTGTACCATTTCCCCACAAAGATACGAGCAGCAGAACAATGGAGAGACGAAGGAAAAAGTAAAGGAACAAAGGGAACATCAGCCCGAACCAAGAGAGCAGAAGAATTAGAAGCCCCAGCAATGGCTGGGGGGGGGGGAGAGAAAGGAATAGCCACGAAAACGACCAGGACGAGCACCAAGCATTGGCTCCTGGAGACAGACACAAAGGGGCGAAAACCGCGAAATCAGAAGTTGGAGTTCGAGGAAATTGGCGTAATAACCTCGAACGTTCCATTGAAGAATGGACAACGACGAGAAGAGAAAGGACAAAAACAGAGAACAAGGAAGAAACAAAGGCGAAAGAGCAACAGAGCACGTTAAAGAATATCAGGGTCGGGATCAGGGTCAGCAAAGTCAGGGTTAGGGGGCATGGGTAAACTGAGCAAAGACGGAGGGAAGGAAACGGGAAAACAGATCAGAGGTGGGCGGGCGGGGTCCGGAGGAGGAGGAGGAGGAGGAAGAGGAGGAGACAACGGAGAGGAGCCGTCAAGGACAGCAGCAGGAGGAGGGGGAGTAGAAAGAGGGGAGCGCACCCCAGCAAGAGCAGCAACCGAAAGGGAAGCAGGGGCCAAAGAAACCTCCATAGCAGGAACAGGGGGCGCAAGCACTGAAACGGGAGGGGAAGGAGCAACAGAGCCAGGAGGAGGAGCTGAGGAAGAAAGCGAAGCCTTCTTACCCGCCGGGGAAGAGGAAGGAGAGGAGCCAGGCTTACGCTTCTGACTTAAAGAGACCGGTGTCCCAGCAACTACGTACTGGGCAACGGATTCCAGTGTCTCAACAGGAGAAGCCGAACGAGAGCACACACGACGGCCGTTAGGAGAGCGATGGACATCCGCCCGCACCGACAGGCGGTGGGGAGAGCCGATAGATGGAGGAAGAGGATGGGAAGGAGGATCGGAGGGGGACGAGGAAGAAGACACAGAAGACACGACAGACCGGGTAGAAGGAAGGGGAACCCCAGACAGAGGACCAGGAGGAGGATCCTTCGGGAGAGAACCCAAAGGAACAGAGGAGGGGGCAGTGGGCGCATCAGGGTCCAAGGCCCGGAAACGGTTGTGAGTCTGAGGAAGGCGGGAAGGACGAGGAGAGGAAGAGCGCAACACGCGAGCATAAGAGATATTAGCATAAGGCGGGAGCCGGCGAACCTGGCGCCTCGCCTCAGGAAAAGATAAACGCTCCCGGTGCTTCAGGTTGAGGACGGCTGCCTCAAGCTTGTAATGGACACACGCACGGGAGAAGGTAGGATGGGCCTCACCGCAGTTGAGGCAACGAGCCTGAGGAGAAGTGCACTCCGACTTAGAGTGACCTTCGCCACCACACAAAGGACAGAGAGATAGTCCCGGAGCAGCGGAGGGCACCATGCCCAAACCTCCAGCACTTGTTGCAGAGCCGAGGAGAAGGAATGTACTCCTGGACAGAGCACCTGGCACCAGCAAGAATGACAGAGGGTGGAAGGGTCCTACCATCAAAGGTAATCTTCACAACCCGGAGGGGTTGACGGCGACTACCACGAGGGGGACGAGTAAACGTGTCCACCTGGAGAATAGAATGGCCCTGGGCAGCGAGGATATGTCGAATATCGTCGTGGCAGTCGCGCAGGTCCCGAACACCGGTTGCAACATGGGGCGGGAGCAAAATAGTGCCAACACTGGCATTCAACTGAGCGTTCTTCGAGACCCGAACGGGGGTCTCGCCAAGGCAGGATAAGGCAGCCAAGCGGGAAGCAGCATCCGGAGAAGGAGCAGCAACGACACGTGTACCGAGACGAGTGGGGTTGAAAGTAATGGAGGCATCCACGGAATCAATGAGATGTCGATGAAGGGAGAAATCGTCAGGAGGCGCAGAATCAAGAGGGAGGAGATCAAAATATTTGGCCCATGAAGCGGGACCAAACAAGGCTTGATAGGTAGCAGAACTGGAAGGAATCGAGCGAGGGCGGCCATGACGAGGACGGCGGTGAGAACCCCCAGAGAGAGGGGGGTTAAAAGGCGCAGTAGTTACAACTAGAGAAGGAGCCGCGCCAGGGGACGAGGTAGTCACCACCGGGGGCTTGGGGCTCAACCCAACCACAGAGGAGGGAGGGGAGCCAGGGGAAGGAGTCAGAGAGGCCAAAGGAGGAGCAAGGTCGGGGCCCAAAATGCAGTGGAGGCTACAGAGCCCGGTCTTCCAATACGGACCGACTCGGGGGTTTGATCGCCCACCCCACGAGCCTGAGAAGGTAAATCAGAAGCAGCCGAAACAGGGGTTATCATCATTACGAAAAGAAGAATTCATTCACGAATGTGCCCCCACACCCACCATGGAGCCACAATTAGAGGCAGGACACCCAACAAGAAGCTATCGCCGATCTTGCCGGGGCCTCCTAGGGGTGCGTCGTGAGTATACGCCCCACAAATGCCACCTTAAGAAACCGACAGTCCGTCGAGATCGGGTTCAGTGACGATAGGGGGATTGACAATAAAAGGTTCCCCTCGCTCTCGACGTCGGGTACTACAGTTCTACGGGTGCAAGAGTATGCCTCCTCAAGCACCCGGGCGTCAAAATAGAAGTCCAAGGGAAGAACCAGAACGAGCAAAAGGTCGGCAGGAAACGGCAAGCAGATAGGAGAAGAGGGGAGAGAAAAACGAAACAGAAGGAAAAGGAAAAGATGCCCAGCAGAATTGGAGAGGACGGCAGCAGGAGCACAAGGCTAGAAAAGGACAGAGGACTGTCCTAAGGAGCATCACACTCCGGCAGCCGCCCACTAACTCCAGCTCCAGCTCCAGCCTGGAGTCCATACCTAGTTAAACACAAGACAAAGTTAGAGAAGATTCAGCGGTATGCCACCAGGCTCGTCCCGGAACTGAGAGGATTGAGCTACGAGGAAAGGCTAAAGGAGCTGAACCTCACATCCCTGGAAAACAGAAGAGTAAGGGGAGACATGATAACCACCTACAAAATTCTCAGGGGAATTGACAGGGTGGACAAAGACAAACTCTTCAGCACGGGTGGGACACGAACAAGGGGACACAGGTGGAAACTTAGTACCCAGATGAGCCACAGAGACGTTAGAAAGAATTTTTTCAGTGTCAGAGTAGTTAATAAATGGAATGCACTAGGAAGTGATGTGGTGGAGGCTGACTCCATACACAGTTTCAAATGTAGGTATGATAGAGCCCAGTAGGCTCAGGAATCTGTACACCAGTTGATTGACAGTTGAGAGGCGGGACCAAAGAGCCAAAGCTCAACCCCCGCAAGCACAATTAGGTGAGTACAATTAGGTGACTAAGCCCCCACACGGCGACAACGAGCTGAGCGAGGAGGGGGCTGTATACTGTAAGCCGCTGGTGCTTGGTGCTACGAATGGCACGTTCTTTAGTGGGGAGGGAGGGAAAGCGGCTCAATATTCATTTACAAACTATGTGAAGTAAATTCACACAGGTTGAGAATCAACATTTGTGATAGAATGTAAGTTCTTGGTAATAAATGCTTTGAATCCTAAAGGACACGCAGTTAATCAAAGATATGTTTACTGAAAACTGTGTTATTCCGATAATAGAATTTTCATATTGTTGCCTTATTATCGAGTCATCAGATGACTGTTTAAAATGTAAATGTTCCGCTGACTGATCAATCAGTCTCAAGACAAACATTCACAATGTACTTGTCTTCCTGTCACCTAGTTAAGTCATTCTCGAGGATCTACCACTGATTCTACAACAAAACACACCAAAGAAGCTTTAAGAAGGGTCAAGATGACTACTACTATTATGACTACACATTCAGAACTATTTATAGCTTTTGACTACACAAGGAGGTTGATATAAACACATGACAGGAACACCAGGCGAGGCTCAGATACATCCAGCGTCAAGGATACGGAGGATACCGGGTGCAAGCGATGGATAGCACGGTGTGAAGTCCGCAGTGTGAGGAAGGATATACCACACTGGAATGAGGACGTCCTACCATGCAAGGGCAGACTCACGCATCATTAAACTGGTCCTTGAGAGGGGAGCCCTGCTGGACAGCGACAGCGTAGGGCTTCCTAGAGAACTCCTCTCCCACGATCTGCAGGTCGCAGTTGGTCAGCACCTGGTAGCGGATATCTGTAGCGTCACCTGCGGAGGAGGAGTTGGGAGGGAAGGGTCCGAGGTCAATGACGGAACACTGGTAGCAGTTCATGTCAGTGGCTCGGAGGTCACCTGGGAAAGGCAGGTTGTGTCTGGTGGCCACAGCGGCACACCTACCAAGGTGCCCTGATAAGATGGTGTAGATGAACAAGACTGAGGGATGCAAACATATACTTGCCTGTTTCTGTCGGTTCAGAAAGGTCAGCTTCTGCAAACTGGGAAAATATTGTGCAATCTAGTGTAAGGAAACAGACTGGCCCAGCCATCATTGTTGACGTTCATGTTTACAAACATGACAAAAATTGCTTTGTTGGTTATAAACAAACACAAGTGTCAGTACAATTTAACTTCATGTCAATTTTATATTTGTAATGTCTTATGTGACCAGCTCAGATATGTTATAATTTATAAAAGGTTATTGTCTATAGTTTCTAGAGCACTTTAAGCTATTTGGCAAGTTTGTCCACATTAAAAAGGGAAAAAATCTGTGGATTATCCTTGCAAAAGTCTTTTGTGAAGTAGAAAATTATCTACTAATAAAAATGTATATCGAGAAAAATTTCATGCTGGATTATGGCTGCACTTAACCATACAAAAAAACCATGCTAAAAATGTACAAAAATTCTTCATGGTAGCAAAAACGACCGAGTGCAAAACTATATTCACGCCAAAAACAAAAATCCAGCAAACCTTATTTGGTTTAGTTCAAAAGTAAATTTAAACATGCTTTTTTTTTTACCTTCAAAAAAAATTACAAGTGACATGTCTCTTAAAAATAGGAAAAATGGTGTTACAGATGCAACACTCCAAAAATACCAAAAAACTTCAAAAACACATTCCAAAAAATGAGCGGGCAGGGACAAAAATGAGCGGGCAGGGACAAAAATGAGCGGGCAGGGACAAAAATGATTTGTGGGACTTATAACTCACGCCAGCGAGAACTGGTCTTTGAGGTCTGACCCCTTGGTGACGGCAATGGCCAAAGGCTTCTTGGAGAACTCGACCCCAGGAGTCATAAGGTCACACGACGTGAGGATGGCATAGCGGATGAGTGTGGCATCTCCTGTTGACCACGCCACACCTGGTTATTCCTCTCCCAATTGAACAGTGGCACCTTATCCTACTGTTACTAGTGCCTCCTGTTGACTACGCCCCCTCCCGTTATCTCTACCAGTTGCCAGTGGCACCCTACATCCCCCCCCCCCCCACACACACACGTACCGAGATAAGCAAAACCTTCACTAGTGGAGGTGGACTTCCTGACTCTCTCAAGAGCGGCCTCCAGGGAGGTGGGCAGGCCGGCCTCCTGCATGGACTGCCACATCTTGGTATATTTGTCACTCACTGGGTAGTCCCACACCGCCAGCTTGGCACGCTCCACGTCACTCATCGAGTCGTTCAGGGACATGTCCTTCCAGATCCTGTTGGGTGGAGAGTCATGTCAGGTGTGGGGGCAGGTATGGAGACGATAAACAGAGAGCAGATTTAATAAAGACTTTAGTATTCCCTATGTAAACTAAGGGATGACAGACCCATCGTAACCTCTAGTCATCCACAACTGGTCATTTTACTTCAGCATATAAACAAAGATGAATAATTAAGAACAAGTTAAATTTAACAATGAAATAAAAGGACTAAATTCTCTCACAGTAGAACAACAGTATGTGTGTGAGTGTGTTCTGTCAGTGTGTGTGTGAGTGTGTTCTGTCAGTGTGTGTGTGAGTGTCCTGTCAGTGTGTGTGAGTGTTCTGTCAGTGTGTGTGTGAGTGTCCTGTCAGTGTGTGTGTGTGTGTGTTCTGTCAGTGTGTGTGTGAGTGTCCTGTCAGTGTGTGTGTGAGTGTCCTGTCAGTGTGTGTGTGTGTGTGTTCTGTCAGTGTGTGTGTGTTCTGTCAGTGTGTGTGTGAGTGTCCTGTCAGTGTGTGTGTGTGTGTGTTCTGTCAGTGTGTGTGTGAGTGTCCTGTCAGTGTGTGTGTGAGTGTCCTGTCAGTGTGTGTGTGTGTGTGTTCTGTCAGTGTGTGTGTGTTCTGTCAGTGTGTGTGTGAGTGTCCTGTCAGTGTGTGTGTGAGTGTGTTCTGTCAGTGTGTGTGTGAGTGTGTTCTGTCAGTGTGTGTGTGAGTGTCCTGTCAGTGTGTGTGTGAGTGTCCTGTCAGTGTGTGTGTGTGTGTGTTCTGTCAGTGTGTGTGTGTTCTGTCAGTGTGTGTGTGAGTGTCCTGTCAGTGTGTGTGAGTGTTCTGTCTGTGTGTGAGTGTGTTCTGTCAGTGTGTGTGTGAGTGTCCTGTCAGTGTGTGTGAGTGTCCTGTCAGTGTGTGTGAGTGTCCTGTCAGTGTGTGTGAGTGTTCTGTCTGTGTGTGAGTGTGTTCTGTCAGTGTGTGTGTGAGTGTGTTCTGTCAGTGTGTGTGTGAGTGTGTTCTGTCAGTGTGTGTGTGAGTGTCCTGTCAGTGTGTGTGAGTGTTCTGTCTGTGTGTGAGTGTGTTCTGTCAGTGTGTGTGTGTGTGTCCTGTCAGTGTGTGTGAGTGTTCTGTCTGTGTGTGAGTGTGTTCTGTCAGTGTGTGTGTGAGTGTCCTGTCAGTGTGTGTGAGTGTTCTGTCTGTGTGTGAGTGTGTTCTGTCAGTGTGTGAGTGTGTTCTGTCAGTGTGTGTGTGAGTGTCCTGTCAGTGTGTGTGAGTGTTCTGTCTGTGTGTGAGTGTGTTCTGTCAGTGTGTGAGTGTGTTCTGTCAGTGTGTGTGTGAGTGTCCTGTCAGTGTGTGTGAGTGTTCTGTCTGTGTGTGAGTGTGTTCTGTCAGTGTGTGTGTGAGTGTCCTGTCAGTGTGTGTGAGTGTTCTGTCTGTGTGTGAGTGTGTTCTGTCAGTGTGTGTGTGAGTGTCCTGTCAGTGTGTGTGTGTTCTGTCTGTGTGAGTGTGTTCTGTCAGTGTGTGTGTGAGTGTCCTGTCAGTGTGTGTGAGTGTTCTGTCTGTGTGTGAGTGTGTTCTGTCAGTGTGTGTGTGAGTGTCCTGTCAGTGTGTGTGTGTTCTGTCTGTGTGTGAGTGTGTTCTGTCAGTGTGTGTGTGAGTGTCCTGTCAGTGTGTGTGTGTTCTGTCTGTGTGAGTGTGTTCTGTCAGTGTGTGTGTGTGAGTGTCCTGTCAGTGTGTGTGTGTGTGTTCTGTCAGTGTGTGTGTGTTCTGTCAGTGTGTGTGTGAGTGTCCTGTCAGTGTGTGTGTATGAGTGTCTTGTCAGTGTGTGTGAAGCTTTGAAGGTTAGGAGGGACGAGCTGTGACCAGCTGCGCGAGGAACCCCGGGCCAGCTGCACGAGGCACCAGAAGAGAACCTACTCGTAGAACTTCTTCTCGATGTATGCCATGCGCTCGAAGTAGGTCATGGTGGAGGTACCGTTGACGGGGGCGTACTGGACCTTGTACTGGTTGCTGAGGTCGTCCAGCGACTCTATGGGCGTGTCCAGACGCGACACTGTGGGAGGTACCTGGCTCTTAGTCTCCCACAGCACCACCAGCAGTGGTGGCCAGGTGTGGCCAGCGGTGCAGGCGTGGGCCAGCGGTGCAGGCGTGGGCCAGCGGTGCAGGCGTGGGCCAGCGATGCAGGCTTGGCCAGCGGTGCAGGGGGCGGCCAGCGATGCAGGCTTAGCCAGCGGTGCAGGGCTTGGCCAGCGGTGCAGGGCGTGGACCAGCGGTGCAGGGCGTGGACCAGCGGTGCAGGGCGTGGACCAGCGGTGCAGGGCGTGGGCCAGCGGTGCAGGGCGTGGACCAGCGGTGCAGGGCGTGGACCAGCGGTGCAGGGCGTGGACCAGCGGTGCAGGGCGTGGGCCAGCGGTGCAGGCGTGCAGTTATGTTCTACAGTATATTTCTACAACGGTACACACAGACGAGGAAGCACAGGGACCAGCGCTACAGTAGGCAAGTCTCTGCTACAGTAAAATATACAACGGCTGAATTAAACACCATGCCACATTCTTTTGGATAATTTTATGTATATAATCACACACTAAGCCACCCCCACACTAAGCCACCCCCACACTAAGCCACCCCCACACTAAGCCACCCCCACACTAAGCCACTCCCACACTAAGCCACTCCCACACTAAGCCACTCCCACACTAAGCCACTCCCACACTAAGCCATAACCAAGGTAGAGTGTCTTGCAGGCAGCTCATAGGCAGGTCACACTAAGCCACTCCCACACTAAGCCACACCCACACTAAGCCACTCCCACACTAAGCCATTCCTACACTAAGCCTTAACCAAGGTAGAGTGTCCTGCAGGCAGGTCATAGTGCAATAAGCCAATCATACAGGTAACCGATGTATTTAATTAAACAATACAAATTCAATAAATGACACTAATTCTGTTCCGTCTTGTAGCGTACATGCGCGTGTGCGCACGCGTACGCGCATGTGTGTGCATGTATTACATATTGAGAACTTGCAAGGTGGGTTAACAATTCAGCCGCACACCTGTATCAACACATTCACAACAAAATACAAGTGACTACTTGTGCAAATATGACCTGCTCTTATTGGCATTTTCAGAAGGCCTATTAAGCCTTTGTAGGCCTACGCCTTGCAATCTTCTTCAGAAAGATAGTATCTGCTATTAAGTCACAAGTTACGTTTCAAATTAGAATTGTGAATATCGTTGCAATATTGTAATATGAAATAATAATATATTATTACTCAGTTTCTGCACCTTGTCTTGTGGTATTATACTTCACATGAAAGTCTACTAAACTAGCTATGTGTTGCTAGGAAATACAAAATGAAACAGGAGCATGAGACCTGTGAGGAAGGCAGCCAAGTTAGCAGTGTAGGAAGCGATGATAATGAACCCGAAGAGCCACCACGTAGCTGCCACCAGTCGGCCAGATAGGTTCTTCGGCGCCTCGCCTCCGCCCTGCGACAGAGAACGACTTGGTGAGCCGAAGTGACGCCGCCCTCTCACAGAAAATGAAACATTTTCAAAGAATAGGTAATCTTCAAGTAAGCATTCATTTTTCTAACATGCAAGTCAATCACACACTACCTAACATCAGTCAGGAACACTTTTGTTGCTATCTCTTCAAAGCGTCTTTTGCATAAATAGGGAAACCTGTCCTCTTAAAAAGAACGTCGCTGTTGGCCGTTTGCCAGTATGGCCGAATATGGACGTAATTTGAAAATAAAAAAAATTTGGGATTTTTTTTTCCAACGACAGTAAGTTAAGGGTCCTCTGATAGGTTAGGTGGGCAGGAAATTCTCAAAGTTTCAAAACGGTATGAAAAACGTTAATGGAAAGTTTCCTTTTCTTAGCTGGCCGAGTAAGCCGGACGACTCAAACAGAAAACGGAACAGTAAGTCACTTTTGTGAGTCGATTTCATTTCAAATTACGTTCAAATTTGGCCATAGCGCGCATACCAGCGAAAAGTGACGTTATTTTTAAGAGGACGGGTTGAAACACACAACCTTCGTCAATAATGCTCTAAGACTAAGCATTTACCGTTCACTGTGGCTACTCCTGCAGTGCGAGATCCAGTGCTCTGCTACATCCGGCAAGGCTAAATATATTAAGTAACACTGAGATAAGCTGACTCTAGGCATCGTCCTCTGAGTGATGCTAGCGGTATAGTGAACATGAATAGGAAGCCGAGCTTATAATTAATAATGCCTCCTACCTCAACAGAGTGTACACGCGCTCACAACCGCACACTTATTCAATCAGTTCTCAATATTAATCTCAGCATGAGCCACAATGATGACATGAGCAGCTCACTGTGACAGTGGCCACTCCGACTTCATCTTGGTCTCTCACCTACAACATCATAGTGTTATGAAGACCGCCATGTTTGTCCTCACTGAATGTTGAAGTCTTCAATCTTTTGTTTATCCCCAGTACCTGATCTTTTTATCCTTACCTATTCCTCCTATTTCACCACTTCCTGCATCTCCCCATCTATTTCCACGTCTTCCTCTCTCTCTCTCTCCCACTTAACTATGTCATGCCATGATAACTTACCCCGACACACACACAAACACACACACACACACACACACACACACACACACACACACACACACACACACAGGGGAACAGCCTACCTGTAACGATTCGAGAAAGAGACCTGGGAGTGGTGACACCTAATCTAACTCCTGAGGCACATATAAATAGGATAACGACAGCAGCGTACTCTACACTGGCGAAAATTAGAACTTCATTCAGAAACCTAAATGAGGAAGCTTTTAGGGCACTTTACACTGCCTACGTGAGACCCGTCTTAGAGTATGCCGCGCCATCATGGAGCCCCCACCTGAAGAAACACAAAGAAACTGGAGAAGGTTCAGAGGTTTGCGACGAGGCTTGTCCCAGAGTTACGAGGGATGGGATATGAAGAGCGGCTGAAGGAACTGAACCTAACGACACTAGAGAAAAGAAGGGAGAGAGGAGATATGATAGGGACATATAAAATACTCAGGGGAATTGACAAAGTGGAAATAGATGAAATGTTCACACGTAATAATAACAGAACGAGGGGACATGGGTGGAAACTGGAAACTCAGATGAGTCACAGAGATGTTAGGAAGTTTTCTTTTAGCGTGAGAGTAGTAGAAAAATGGAATGCACTTGGGGAACAGGTTGTGGAAGCAAATACTATTCATACTTTTAAAACTAGGTATGATAGGGAAATGGGACAGGAGTCATTGCTGTAAACAACCGATAGCTAGAAAGGCGGGATCCAAGAGTCAATGCTCGATCCTGCAAGCACATATAGGTGAGTACATATAGGTGAGTACACACACACACACACACACACACATCAACGCACCTGAGGTGTGAGAGAAGTCATGCAGAACCACAAACATTCCTTCAGATTAAATTCTCTCTTCTCTTCATCGTCCTTGTACTTCTCCCTGTTGTTCTGGTAGCTGTAGGGGCTGAACCGGTCGAAGATGTACAGGAGCACGCTGTGGGGGGAGAGGCATGGGAGGCTTACATGTGATGCTGAGGGCAGAGGCATAGAAGGCTTGCCATTCCATGCATCCGCCAACTTTGCCATCCGTACGTCCTCAGACGTACGGATGGTTAAATATTCATATTTGCTTTACCGCAAGCTTTCTTGCTATTACCTGACAAATCTATTCCACCTCACCTGTCAGAAATCTCTCACCTCCCCTCCCTTCTACCCACTCCGCCTTGCCTACGGCACCGCCCACAAATCCTCCCCCAACCTACCTTGTAAACCCGTAGGCGACGAGAATGCAGATCCACACCTCTGGCTCAAGCACAGTGAGGAACTTGAAGAGCGAGGTGGGCAGCTTGACCTTCTTCATGAGAATGGTGATTCCCACCAGGTCATAGTAAGGCACAGTAAAGTCCACCACGTTCTCCCTCTCCGCCATCACCGACAGCGGGGCAAGGGCGATGTCCGCTTGCTGTAAGGTCACATGCAACTCATTAACCGTCTTCAATCGCGGTGGATTTTATCATTTCATCTAATGTTAAGAATTAGCAGTAGCTTCAGGGTTGAGGAAGATGTGTGTGTGCTGGGGACTGACTTGTTCATCACAAGATGTGAAGAAACTTGAGTTTGTGAAGTGATTTGTATGCGAGTCAATAGTCAGATGATTGACAAGGGTGTTATCGCTTGTATTTTGCTTGTTAAGCACAAGGTACTCCGCAGGGGCAAGTTGCCCACTTAATGGACTGGTTGTTCTCACCAGTCAACACGGTCACGAGTCCGGCTTAACTACCGTAGACTGAGATAGGAATTGGTTTATGACCATTTGGCAGAATAAATATAAACCATTTGGGGTTTTATGACACTGATGGGTACATGGTTTAACACTGGAAACTAGTATGAACCCGAACGTAAAACCGGACTGCCGCCTCGGCAGGACTCTGTAAGAGTCCTGTACTTGTGCAGGCAGATCAGTAAGGTCACTCCGTCACCCATTTCCACATACTCAAGATCACACACAGAGATGTGATGATGTAAGGGCGAAGAGGGAGAACGGCCTATTGACAGAGCTCGGGTGAAGGGGGGAGGGGGGTTGTGTAAGAATCCTGGTTTGTGCCTCGGAGAAGCTACGGGATCCAGTAAGTTCAGTATAACTTCGGTTTCAACCATTTTACCCTGTCGTAGCTCAGTCGATTAAGGCAGTGTCTGGGATGCTCCCGGACGCAGGTTCGAATCCTCGTCACGGCCCTTGTGGATTTGTTCATACTCAAGATATTCCTAGCTAATATTTCAGTTCATCCAATAAAACTCACATTTTTGTTCTCCGGCAGTATGTACACAACCTGGGCTCCAAAACATGGTTTGCATTTTGCAATGATCAGCAATAAACAATGTATATTAAATTAACGCTCACTAGAGCGCAGCTCTGCTACCACTCCCGGCTTGGTGCCCTCTATTTAGATAATTGAACATAGAGCTTTGGTTATGTCTGTCATTCTTAAAACTCCTAACGTTTGCCACCACACTATACACCATACAGGGTATATATACACGCCACTATACACCCTCATCTTGACGTCCTCATACCCCCTCTCCCCCCCCCCTCCCTCCTCCACACACCTCACAACCTCAACCTTCACCGCATGAGGGGGGGAGTGGGAGGGGGTGTGGCGCACCAGTGTATGTATTAACGTGTCTGGGACGTACTGGGAATCTCACGAATATTCCTCATTGCAAACACAAATGGTCACAATCACGAATGACGAGACGGACCAAACAGCTCCCTGTGAACGCCAGGGACCAAACGGTTCCCTGTGAACGCCAGGGACCAAACGGTTCCCTGTGAACGCCAGGGACCAAACGGCTCCCTGTGAACGCCAGGGACCAAACGGCTCCCTGTGAACGCCAGGGATCAAACGGCTCCCTGTGAACGCCAGGGATCAAACGGTTCCCTGTGAACGCCAGGGACCAAACGGCTCCCTGTGAACGCCAGGGATCAAACGGCTCCCTGTGAACGCCAGGGATCAAACAGTTCCCTGTGAACGCCAGGGATCAAACAGTTCCCTGTGAACGCCAGGGATCAAACAGCTCCCTGTGAACGCCAGGGATCAAACAGCTCCCTGTGAACGCCAGGGATCAAACAGTTCCCTGTGAACGCCAGGGATCAAACAGCTCCCTGTGAACGCCAGGGATCAAACAGTTCCCTGTGAACGCCAGGGATCAAACAGTTCCCTGTGAACGCCAGGGATCAAACAGTTCCCTGTGAACGCCAGGGATCAAACAGTTCCCTGTGAACGCCAGGGATCAAACAGTTCCCCTGTGAACGCCAGGGATCAAACAGTTCCCTGTGAACGCCAGGGATCAAACAGTTCCCCTGTGAACGCCAGGGATCAAACAGTTCCCCTGTGAACGCCAGGGATCAAACAGTTCCCCTGTGAACGCCAGGGATCAAACAGTTCCCCTGTGAACGCCAGGGATCAAACAGTTCCCCTGTGAACGCCAGGGATCAAACAGTTCCCCTGTGAACGCCAGGGATCAAACAGTTCCCCTGTGAACGCCAGGGATCAAACAGTTCCCCTGTGAACGCCAGGGATCAAACAGTTCCCCTGTGAACGCCAGGGATCAAACAGTTCCCCTGTGAACGCCAGGGATCAAACAGTTCCCCTGTGAACGCCAGGGATCAAACAGTTCCCCTGTGAACGCCAGGGATCAAACAGTTCCCCTGTGAACGCCAGGGATCAAACAGTTCCCCTGTGAACGCCAGGGATCAAACAGTTCCCCTGTGAACGCCAGGGATCAAACAGTTCCCCTGTGAACGCCAGGGATCAAACAGTTCCCCTGTGAACGCCAGGGATCAAACAGTTCCCCTGTGAACGCCAGGGATCAAACAGTTCCCCTGTGAACGCCAGGGATCAAACAGTTCCCCTGTGAACGCCAGGGATCAAACAGTTCCCCTGTGAACGCCAGGGATCAAACAGTTCCCCTGTGAACGCCAGGGATCAAACAGTTCCCCTGTGAACGCCAGGGATCAAACAGTTCCCCTGTGAACGCCAGGGATCAAACAGTTCCCCTGTGAACGCCAGGGATCAAACAGTTCCCCTGTGAACGCCAGGGATCAAACAGTTCCCCTGTGAACGCCAGGGATCAAACAGTTCCCCTGTGAACGCCAGGGATCAAACAGTTCCCCTGTGAACGCCAGGGATCAAACAGTTCCCCTGTGAACGCCAGGGATCAAACAGTTCCCCTGTGAACGCCAGGGATCAAACAGTTCCCCTGTGAACGCCAGGGATCAAACAGTTCCCCTGTGAACGCCAGGGATCAAACAGTTCCCCTGTGAACGCCAGGGATCAAACAGTTCCCCTGTGAACGCCAGGGATCAAACGGTTCCCTGTGAACGCCAGGGATCAAACGGTTCCCTGTGAACGCCAGGGATCAAACAGTTCCCCTGTGAACGCCAGGGACCAAACGGTTCCCTGTGAACGCCAGGGACCAAACGGTTCCCTGTGAACGCCAGGGACCAAACGGCTCCCTGTGAACGCCAGGGATCAAACGGCTCCCTGTGAACGCCAGGGATCAAACAGTTCCCTGTGAACGCCAGGGATCAAACAGCTCCCTGTGAACGCCAGGGATCAAACAGTTCCCTGTGAACGCCAGGGATCAAACAGTTCCCTGTGAACGCCAGGGATCAAACAGTTCCCTGTGAACGCCAGGGATCAAACAGTTCCCTGTGAACGCCAGAGATCAAACAGTTCCCTGTGAACGCCAGGGATCAAACAGCTCCCTGTGAACGCCAGGGATCAAACAGTTCCCTGTGAACGCCAGGGATCAAACAGTTCCCTGTGAACGCCAGGGATCAAACAGTTCCCCTGTGAACCCCAGGGATCAAACAGTTCCCCTGTGAACGCCAGGGATCAAACAGTTCCCCTGTGAACGCCAGGGATCAAACAGTTCCCCTGTGAACGCCAGGGATCAAACAGTTCCCCTGTGAACGCCAGGGATCAAACAGTTCCCTGTGAACGCCAGGGATCAAACAGTTCCCTGTGAACGCCAGGGATCAAACAGTTCCCCTGTGAACGCCAGGGATCAAACAGTTCCCCTGTGAACGCCAGGGATCAAACAGTTCCCCTGTGAACGCCAGGGATCAAACAGTTCCCTGTGAACGCCAGGGATCAAACAGTTCCCCTGTGAACGCCAGGGATCAAACAGCTCCCTGTGAACGCCAGGGATCAAATGGCGAACGTGAACGCCTTGTGAACGTCATGACTAACCTTGTCTACGAGCTGTTTGATCATGCCGTTCCACTGTTGGTTGTCATCCATTGTGCCGAACTTGCCATCAGGAGCCTCGGAGATCTCGTACCTGCAAGAGGAAGACAATGGTTCCTACTGGAGGCTCAGAGCGCTAAACAACCCGTCCTCTTAAAAATAACGTCACTTTCCGCTGGTATGCGCACTATGGCCAAATTTGGACGTAATTTGAAGTGAAATCGACTCACAAAAGTGACGTACTGTTCCGTTTTCTGTTTGAGTCGTCCGGCTTACTGGGCAAGCTTAGAAGAGCCAACTTTCCATTAACGTTTTTCATACCATTTTGAAACTTTATGAGAATTTCCAGCCCACCTAACCTATCAGAGGACCCTTAACTTACTGTTGTTGAAAAAAAAATCCCAATTTTATTTTATTTTTCATTTTCAAATTACGTCCATATTCGGCCATACTGGCAAACGGCCAAAAGCGACGTTCTTTTAAAGAGAACAGGTTGAGCTCCTTCTCAATGCCTTCGACTTGAACTCCCCCTTTTTAATAATGCTTTAGGTTGTAACATCAGTGACTTTAATGTATAACTGCTTTTAGAAACCCCGCTTGGGGTTATTGATGTAAATGTTCTCTTGAGATATGCGCTCAATTCTTACCATTATGATCTGACAAACAGGCCAATAGATTTTCTCCAATCCAATTATCTAGTGTCTGCAAACACACTATCCTGTTCAATAAGCTTACCCTAATGACCTGATCCTACACCTGAAGCAGTTCAGGATATATCGTTCAAGAATAGAACTATCCGGAGATTCATCTTCCAGCAGTGACTCGCCCAGAAGGCTGGCCACCGTAGAAGCGACCTTCCTCCTCTCGTCTATCCTTGCCCTACATCCCATTCTCCTTCACCCTCCGCCCTTCCTAAGCTGAGAAAAAGACGTGGGAAATGACGTACTCGAAGTTGACAATCAACTTGATCTCGTTGATGAGGTCGATGCAGTAGCCGTAGAACTCGGGCTTTCCATCTGCGTTGATTTTCTTGTAGACGAAGGGCGGTTGTTGGACCGTGGTGACCCTGTACACCGTCACCGCCTGCAGGAGGGACAAGCCTGTCACTGTAGGTGCTGGGAGGAGGAGGGGGTGGACCAACCAGGTGAAGAAGGTTGGGCTTTTATTTAATATATATATATATATATATATATATATATATATATATATATATATATATATATATATGCGCGCTCCATAAATTAGGGTTAATTAGGGATAAATTAGGATATGAGATAATATATTCCTACTTTAAAAATATAGTATAACTTAAAGGTTAGTGGGGGGTATAAACCCCCTTAGTTATGGGTTAGGTTAAGGAAAATTGGGTTATGTTAATGGTAAAGACATAGTCATATCCTTTTCTGAAAAAAATATGATGTAAAATGGAGTTCAGATACAGGTTAGGTTGAGGATGGTTAAGTTAAACTGACGTAGATGACATGCCCAATAGTGGTAGTAGTGGTAGACATCCATCAGTCTCAGGAGACTATGGAGTTGCGCTCTGGGTGTCGGTCTGGAGTGGCCTCACCAGGGCGCAAAGCCAGGGTAGGTTGATTCAGGGGAGAAGCTGTTACCCATGCAGCAGGTCCCCCCCTCTCCACGGCGCTGAAAGTCTCCAATGGAAAGGCATACGTCCAATAACATTTACATTAACCCCTAGGTAATAGAGGTTGGGGGGGACGGGTTGCTTGTACAAAAATGTGTACAAAAAATGGCTAAAAATAAGGTGCAATATTGAACAAAGATCTTGGTATCAAAGGTTACGTCCAAGGCGGTTAGGTTGATTAAAAAGAAAAAAAAGAATACAGTGCCTATGACGTTAGGTCGAAGGCAGGTTAGGTTCATCGTTGCCAAGTCCATATCCAAAACAAAACATTGCCAGGAATATTGAACATAGATCCAGGCAGGTTAGGCATGAGGCAGTTAGCTTTGTATTAAAAAAGGTAACTATCAAAAGAACGCATCAAGCCGAGAAGGCTATGTAGCACCATCAAATGTGTGGGATAATCAGAGGGCGCTAAATATCACCAAGGATGCCAATACGAGAACAGAAACTCGTATGGTGAGCGATATCAAAGGTATCCGTTTCACCAAGAATGCAATCGAGGGACAAGTGACCGCGAGGGACGGTCGGAAAGCAAGACACACGCTCGTCTTGGAAGTCAGGACATACAACAAGGATATGCACGACTGTAAGAGGGACAATGCAGTTTGGACAATAAGGAGCAGGGCGGCGCTCCATTAAGTGCTAGTGAGTTAAAGTAGGGGGGATGGCTCCACACAGACGATATTTTTTTTCAGGTCAAATATCGTCTGTACGGGCCATGGTTTTCAGGTTCCAAAGGGAAAATATCGTCTGTGCGGGCCAGGGTTTTCAGATTCCAATATCGTCGGTGTGAGCCAGGGTTTTGAGGTTCCAATATCGTCTGTGTGAGCCAGGGTTTTCAGGTAAATTTTGTGTCACAGATTTTAGAAGTATGGAATTCTTATGAGAAAATAATTTCCGAGACATAGAAGTTTGTTAAGGCCTTATGGGACAAATTCAAGTAACGTATGTAGCTCTTTAGGGCTTCCAGGAGAACTCTACGGACATGTTTTACATGTTTTCAACTTACAAAATCCGTCTGTGTAAGCCATAGTTTTCATATAAATTTAGAAAATCACCTGTGTAAGTCATAGTTTTCAGGGTTTCGTACATCACACCCCCCTCCCTCCCCCCTTACCTCGCAATCTCTCGCGTCACCTTTATTTACTTTACGCCCGGCCAGCCAGTCGGCTCTTATCATATCTTATCTCCATAATATCTCTACCGTCCCTCCTCTCTCTCTCTCTCCTCCTCCTATTTCCTTACAACTATTTTCAGAGTTTCAAATAATCATAGAAGTTTATTTATATGTTTATGACCGAATTTGTAAAAGGACCATTTTCAGAGAATATTGTCTTAGATGTTTTGTTAAGGAAAACAGGCAACTTATCCATAACATTTAGTTTTATATCCATTTACGGCTATTTCATCTGTAAAGACCAAATTGAACAGAGCCCAGTTTTAAGCTCATATTTCATCAGAGTCCAGTTTATACCGAAAATTCGCCAGAGTCTACTTTGAGAGCAATATTCGTCAGAGACAGTTTTAGCTCATATTTCATCAGAGACCATTTTATACCTAAAAATGAACAGAGTCCACTTTGTGAGCAAATTAGTCAGAGACAGTATTTAGCTCATATTTCATCAGAGTCCAGTTTATGCTCAAATTCGCCAGAGTCTACTTTGAGATCAAAATTAGTCAGAGACAGTTTTAGCTCATATTTCATCAGAGACCATTTTATACCTAAAAATGAACAGAGTCCACTTTGTCAGCAAATTAGTCAGAGACAGTATTTAGCTCATATTTCATCAGAGTCCAGTTTATGCTCAAATTCGCCAGAGTCTACTTTGAGATCAAAATTAGTCAGAGACAGTTTTAGCTCATATTTCATCAGAGACCATTTTATACCTAAAAATGAACAGAGTCCACTTTGTCAGCAAAATTAGTCAGAGACAGTACTTAGCTCATATTTCATCAGAGTCCAATTATCAACAGAAATTCGCCAGAGTCTACTTTGAGAGCAAATTTCATCAGTGTCCTGTAATCTGTGAAAATTTGACAGAGTCCAGTTCTTGATCGAAATTCATCAGAGTCCAGTTTTCTAGCAAAATTCGCCAGAGTCTACTTTGTGCCAAAATATTCAGAGTCCAGTTCATGATCGAAATTAATCAGAGTCCAGTTTTCTAGCAAAATTCGCCAGAGTCTACTTTGTGCCAAAATATTCAGAGTCCAGTTCATGATCGAAATTAATCAGAGTCCAATTAAAGACCCAAATTTGGCAGAGACCACATTTTCGCTACTAGCAGTCCAATCCCCCTGAAATTTTAAACAGTCATATTTCAGACGTAGTAAATAAGATCAAGTCAGTTACAGAGCTCCAGCTCTTGTCCCCCTGTATTTGCATATTTTCTCTATATTCACTGTGTTCTTCGTATTCTCATCCGTGTTCACTCCATGTTCTACAAATGTTCACAGTCCCATTCAGTTCATATTTTCACAAGTATCTCCATTTTTTCTGTAATCTTTCTCTTAGTCTCATTATGTTCTCTACAAAGTCTAGTCATATTTTCTATGTTTTCATGTTCATCACATGTTCTCTTTACAACTTTTATACTCAATATTCATGCTAACTTCCATATTTTGTGTTCTTTGTCAATATTCATGTTCCTCTACAAGTTCATGTTCCTCACAAGATCACTTCGTTTTTCACCTTCACTTACATGTTTTCTACATTCTTTGTCACATTCTCCATGTTCTTCACAAGTCCATTGTTCATTCTTTGTATTCCCTATTCTCCTTATCATGTTTTCATGTTCTCTGTAAGTTCATATTCCCAGCATGTTCACTGTATTCATCAACTTTTTCTTACATGTTTTCTGTGTTCACCGTATGTTCACTGTGTTCATTCCCCTACTTAACCTCAATTTTTTATGTTCTTTGTTTCTTTTAACCAATTTGTTTCTTCCATTCACTAACTAGTTTCTTTGTCAAATAATATTATACTGCATTACAGTTTCCTCAACAATTTTAGTCACCCAGTTTTTATTTGCAAAACTATGTCAAAGTAATTCTCGTAGTCAACTTAATAGTTCTACCAGCCATGTTCTTAAACAAATCTACACTTTATTCAGTTCCAAATTTACAAAGACAAACCTTTCTTGTAACTTCTTAACTAAAAATCTTTCGCCAATCAACTAAAACATAGTCACTTTCGTCATTTCTCAACTAAACTTATTATCCAGTCAACTAAAAATTGTCAAAGGAATCTTTCCAGCACTGTTCACAACTAAACATATTCCCCATTCATCAGAAATAACCTTGTTCTTCATGTTTCATTGTCATTTCATAACTAAAATTATCTAACAATCAACAGAAAAAGCCATGTTCATCATGTTTTGTCTTTTTCCTTAACTAAAGTATTCATCAGTCAACTAAAAATAGTTACTTCATCATGTTTCCTTGTCATTTCTCAACTAAACTTATTATCCAGTCAACTAAAAATAGTCAGAAATAGCCTCGTTCAACACTGTTCTTAACTAAAACAACCTTTCTCTTAGCTAAAAATTGTCAAAGGAAACTTTTTCAACACTTTCGTAACTAAAATTATATGTCGCTAAGTAAGAAAAATTGTCAAAGGAATCTTTCCAGCACTGTTCTTAACTAAACTTATTCCCCAGTCATCAGAAATAACCGTGTTCTTCATGTTTCATTGTCATTTCATAACTAAAATTATCCATCAATCAACAGAAAAAGCCATGTTCATCATGTTTTGTCTTTTTGCTTAACTAACTTTATCCATCGTCAAGTAAGAAAATATAGTCAAAGATATCTATCATCGTCGTTCTTAACTGACATTTATACTTTGTGGAGCACTAAAATAGTCAAATGTAACTTTTTCAACACTTTCGTAACTAAAATTATATGTCGCTAAGTAAGAAAAATAGTCAAAGGTGCTCTCCGTTACACCAAAGTTACTCTTCGAGAAATCAAAGACACTCTTCAATACATCAAGGACTTACTCAAAGACACCAAAGTTACACTCTAAGACATCCTTCGAGACATCAAAGACATTCTCTAAGCCCTCAAAGTTATTCTCAGCACAATCAAAAGTTATTCCAAGACAACAAAAGTTATTCTCAGAACAATCAAAAGTTATTCCAAGACAACAAAAGTCATTCTCAGAGCTATCAAAATTATTCTCGGAGTCATCAAAAGGTATTCTCTAACTCACTTTTGGTCATTAAAGTTAATTTCTATGTTATAAAAGTTTGTCTCAGAGACATCTAAAGTTAATCTTAGAGTTATCAAATGTAATCTCTAACTCTCTTTTGTTCATCAAAGTTGATCTCAGAGTTAACAAAGGTAATCTCTAACTCACTCTCGTTCATCAAAGTTATTCAAAGAGCTAACAAAAGTTATTCTCAGAGTCACCTTCGTTCTTCAGAGAAACTTTCCA